AGCAGTCTCCGAGCAATTTTGCCGAGATGCTGTCTAATCCAGTCGCTTTTGATTTACAGAGTTTAAAAAAGAGAAACAGAACTTGCGTAAAAGAAATTTCTTAGAAGACGAACTCTTTAGAAGTTGCTCAAAGAAAATTTAAGAAGGGTATGGCGACATTTGTTACATCTTTAATCAGGCTTGGGCCAATTTCAGTTCGACAAAATAAGCCTCCAGCATCTCGGCAGCTTCTACTTGATTGCTTGATGTTGCTCTTGCTATTTTTCTCCATTGTTGGACTTACGTGATCTTAATTTATTGTTAGTTTTCCAGTTCATGCGCTGGTCACTAGAATATTTGTTAAGGGCGTTGTTGTATGATAGACAGCCTTCATTTCCTGATTTCATTGATTTTTTACTTTTCGAAATTCATTCCAAATAGACATGTTCTGGGTTTTGACGGCTTTTTTCTTGAGCCGGTCTTTAAAAGTCATTCTCTTTTATTTCATTCGCTCATGTTAGCCTACCCCGAGGGAAGGCCAAGGTCGATTCCTGTAAACTTTTTTTCGATTTTAGGCTTTTGAGTGCATTTGATAGTTTTTGGCGAGTAATAAACAAACGAAATGGCGACCTTTGTTGCTAAGAATAGTGGTGGGGTGAAAAAGAAGCCAATGATAATCTTAAAAGAGTTTTTTTTTTTTTCGTTTTAGTTTCAACAAGCGGCGCCAGCGACTGGCAGGCGTGCGAGGATTCACACTGAAATAAGAGAACAACCTTCGTTTTTCATAAAATTGTCATTTACAATCCTTGAACTTGAAAACAATCCGAAGATTCATTAAAAATATCACTTACTCCGAAGCGTTCGGAGTTTACAGGTGTTCAAAAGCTTTTTCTGTTATGGCGTGAGATTGGGGACAAAATCGATTATTACATGTTGTATCGTGTGTTTTTTCAGTGTGAAGCAAAAAAAGGTGCCGGCGATGGACGAAATTACAGGTTAACACGAAAATCAAATAACACCTAAACAAATAATTTTGGCAACCGATTTTCAGTGAATTTTTAAGAACAATTTTCTTTTAAGTATTACGTACTAAAATGCGAAAGTTATACACCACAAAATTGATAAATAGGCCTGAAATGAAATTTCTTGTTCTTGATTATACGTAGCCTAGCTCATAACCAAAATCTACCCAGGCGGAAATCCAAAATGACGGTGGCAGTCTGGGCTTTGTTATATCACTCGAAACTCGTTCCCGTTTGTCTCATTTGATAAAGAGGGAATCATTAATGTTTTCACTAAGACAGTGGTTGTTTACCATTTATAAAAAAATTCCGGAAATTTCGGTTTGGAATTTTCCTTCGGTAAACACGGTACGGGTCGTTTACCATTTGCCCCAAAATTTTCGGATTGTCGCGCCAAGCAGGAGAAACTGATCGGCTAAGATTTGCTATTTCTGATAGCCCAGTTGATACGTCAGCTGTGTATAAAAATTTACAATTATTTTCGCGGGAGAATAAAATATAGCGCAAAACTTGACAGCCATTCGATTTTGGACACAAATTAGCGATTTTAAGTCTGCTCGCCATTTAAACACAAGGAACAGCTATGTGTTAGAAATATTTCCAGAATTGGAGACGAATAAGAGCAACATAAACACTGGTACACATTCCCCATTTGCTGTGAACCCTCCATATTTGTTGTTGTTGAAGCGATTGCGCTCGGCCAAAGGCCAAGAGGCCTGAAATTAGTACGAAACTCAAGAAACTTCTTAATGGCAAACGAATTTCCATTCGCAACGTCCTAACCGGAAAAACGGGACTACCTTTTCAGAATTTCCGTTCGTCCCGGGAATTTTCCAGTGGGACGAACCGAAAAAATGTTTACCATTTACATCTCAACCGGAATTTCCGGGAATTTGTGGTAAATGGTAAACAACCAGTATTGCCTTGATAACCAGATAACATTAAACATAATCTACTCATAATCATAATCCACAGAGCACTTTGATTTTAAACAGTCGTTATCCATGGTGATTTGGTAGGACGTGTACGTTTAGTTTTAAGTGGTGCGTGTTTAGCGCAAACACTTTCTTTCTATTAAGCCAAATCTCATTAGGATCGTTCCGGAAATTTATAATGTTGGAAAGTTTAAATTGTCTGTAGTTAATGGACTTTATTCCTTTTAATACAGGGGGAATTGACATTTTCCGATACGCGTAAAGTAAACTAAACTAAACTGTGATCGCTTACACTAACATGAGACAAACCGGAGGAAAGAGAAGTGAAAATAAGATCAATTAAAGTATTTGTTGAAGCTGTGATTTGGGTAGAGTCACTAATTAATTATCTTAAGTCATAATTGACTGCAACATTCAGAAGAGTTTTGAAGAAGTGTGAACACTTGATAGTAAATTATTATTGATGTCGCCAATTAAGTACTGTTCAATATTTTTTCGAATCTGATCTTTCTAGCAGGGAGTCATCCCCGAGGGAAGGCCAACATGACAATTTAGAGGTCTATCACAGTAACGAAAAAAAGGTTTTGAGTTTGGTTTTAAAATTCCCACCGATAAGACCGCTAAGTGTTCACGTATTACGTGATTTACGTTAGATCGACTATAGAGGGACACTTCCCCGCCAAGTCTCTCAATAACTACCCTGTCAGTGCCCTGAAATTCTTCGTCTCTCGCTTTGACTTTGTGATGTTTTGTGATGTTTTAGTTCGCATCATCCTAGGTTCCGACTGTTTGTCATTATAGACTTGAAAATGAACACTGAAGCGGTTTTGAAGTTTTATTGACAACTTTATTGGGTGACATATCCTATTGTTATGTAATTACATTCATACAAAACAAAGAAAATCAAATATAATGTATACATTGTTAAAGCTCGCATCAGTTCAAATTGATCTGTTCTAGATTATTTTAGGTTACTTACTTATCAAAAAAATAGAACAATTGAGTTCCAGGATATAAAACTCTAAGAAAAGTAATATCAAAAAAAGGACATTTTCCCGGACTGAGAATATAAAATTTCCTCAGAGCTGAAAATAGTTTCTCGCTCTATTTGTTCAACTGATTAGCTTAAAGTGTTCTTCTAGACTATTTTAGGTTATGTACTTATCAAAAAAATAGAACAATTGACCTCTAGGATATAAAAACTCCAATAACAGCAATATCAAAAAGGTACATCCTCCCTGACTGAGAATATAAATTTTCCTCAGATCTAAAATTAGCTTCTCGCTACAATTGTTCAACTGCACGAAATATTAACACATCCAACTAGCTTTTCCGGTTTTCCCAAAACTTTAATGAGGACCAATCATTATTGGTCACGGAGGGAGGGGGGGGGGGAGGTCAAGAAAGAGAGATTCAGTGGTCGCCAACAAAGTGTGAAGGGGGAGGATGTTTATGGCCCAAATACAGGATTTTAGTCTGTAAAATATTCTATCATAATGTACATTTTACTTTATCTCTTGGAAGGTGGTATTTAAAGCAGCCATTCTTAGTATGAACTTTAACAAAGCCTTCCTATGTCGTTTTATCGCGCGATTATTACTTCAACAAGGTTTTGTGCTCGGGCGAGTTGGGTACTACTGATTACCACAGCGTCTACATCTTATTGAGTGACTCATTTGCATGTCGGAGTCCCCTTAAAAACTCGTTTGCACGAGTTAAAAGGGAAAAAATTCCAAAAGAAAATTGTGTGTTCTTTTTTGATACTGAGTTTGGAGACAAAAAAGTATGCGTATTCTTACACAGTGGTTTCTTTCCAAATCCATGAGGGATCATGATCACTGGGTGACTCATCGAAATGACTGAATAAAAGCTGGGGTTCAAGCCCCGGTTCAGCATCTTGACTTCGTCTTTGAAGAAGAGCTCGAAGAGTGACACGTAGATTTGTCATTTGGGCTTCTTCCCTACTCTCTGATCTTTGGCTGAAAAGCCTCTTCCATGAGAACCACGAGGTAAAAAAAACAAGAGCGGTAAACAGTGTGGTTTGGAATATTCCATCTGCGGTTTCTCTGCCATTAAACGATTGTCCGGCAAGAATCACAACAATTGTTAAAAATATGAGAGCCACAAAAATAAGTACCCATTTTATAAGAAGAGATCGATGCATGCTTTTATCACGTACCGTTTGTCTATTGATTTCGTAGCCGCCGACTATATAATTGAAAGAAGAAATAACAAGACACACTGCTAGTGCAATTGTCAAACCCCAAATTGGGTTAAGCATTATGCCGATGAGCATCCAACAGGAGAAGAAACAGGTATAAATAACACTTAAAGGGGCAAGTAGTTTCTGAAACCACATAAAGCCGCTGTTTATCTGACCTGGATCAGAGCTCCTAAAATTATTCCAGATGTCCCTCACTCTTTTGGAGAGGGGAGTAATAAAATACAAAACGGGAATCAAAACAAGTAAGATATCCAGGTAGAAAAGTAGTCCGTCTCTCACAGAGAAATAAATTACAACAGATAAAAGTATCAAGCAGATAAATGAACCAGATACTCCCACCAAAACACTTAAACATAGCATAGCCTTATATTCAGGGCTATTTACTACCTTCAAATACACCATATATGCCACTACCATGTCATAGAGTGGACCGAAAGCTGCACAGGTGGAGCAGAAAGAACTCCATATCATTATTCTGATTTCGACATTTCTTCCTGTAGCTTGCATATCTGTACCATGGCCCTCGATAACACACTCTGCATTGTTTAGTTCTGGATTCCTTATTCCTGGTGAAGAGGCCAGATCTTGAAGCTGAAATGAGCACCAACAAAGATTCAGCAAATAATTCATCTAATATGGCAGCATCAGTAACCATAGCAACCTAGCCGCTTGTCTGCAACCTACAAGGTACAAAGTTTCACTTCTCTATTTCCAAACTCTTGGCGATCAGTTTAAACGGTTGCGATAGGTATTCATAACCCTTCTAAGAGTTTCATTACCGATATTAAATTATTTAGTGTAACGGAGGCGATTGCTTTTGTCGCAGAGAGCATTGCTTGAAATGAATGCTTACTCTCAGAGGATTACGAATACTCATTTTGGCTTGGGTTAAGCAGTTTTGAGTCGGGGTTTCTTAGAGATGAAAAAAACGACATTAAATTATTTAGTATCATTTCAATACTTGTTCTCACCGAGAGATGTGAGAGTCGCGATTGCTTTTGTTGCATAGAGCATTGTTTCTAATAAAGGCTTACTCTCAGAGGGTTACGAATACTCACTTCAGCTTGGGTTAAGCAGTTTTGAGTCAGGTTTTCTTAGAGATCAAAAAAAAAAAAGGAAAAAAATCATTGAACATACCGCAGCGAGGACATTTTCAATCATATCGTTTATCGTCTTCTTTCTTTCATCCTCTGTTTTCGACACATTGCAACAGAAATGTGGAATTGTTAAGTTCAATTCTTTTGTCCGATGTCTGACAAGGATTGATCCGAGTGACACAATTTCCAGGAAGACATCAGGAATAGCAACATACAGACAAGATACGCTCCAAGTGTACCTTGCAATGGGTGAACCTGTTTTGTTGGGACCATGTAAATTCACAAACACACGAACAGAAGAGGGTTTCTTGGCTGGAAATAAGGCAGACTCAATGTTAAAACTGTTATCTGACTTTGTTAAATTGTGATAAAGCTGCTCATATGTATGAATGCATGAGAGTGAACTGGTGGAGTTGTCGCAAGTGTCACTAAATTCTGCTTGAACGTTGTGATGATCGAAGATTAGCACCACTTGAATAAGAGTAGTCACAACAGCCTTGATCAACGGATTGGACATGTCAGAATATCAAGCTACCTCGTTTGAAAAAGTCGGTTGGTATTTTCTATAACAAAATAAAGTATTTCATATCTTTAGTAAAATAATGCTAATAGGCAAACTTTTCCCGCCAGTGGCAGGAGACTCTTGACTAAAGACTCTTTTAGTGCTGCAGTCTTTGGGTTTTCTATGTAGTTACTAGGTTTTCCATTACACAATTCCACTTACATTCAAGCTTATTTCATTCTGTGTAACTCTTGTTAATCTCTCAGACTCTCACACTTTTGATTCTCACTGGATACTTCTCCTTCAACTGCAGAATTCTGACTCTACTCTACTGCACTCTGTCTACATTCTTCTAGTCTTCTCTTCTCTCTATTTTCTCTCTTCTCTTTTCTCTCTTCTCCCCGCTCTCTTCTCCCCAGTCTCTTCTAAGTAAAATCTAAAGAATATGCCTATATATTCACTTCTGACAGATATGGGTGGGCATGCCAGCTGGTTGACCTTGGGAGATCAAACAGCTGTTGTTGGAGCGCTAAACCAAGCACTTGGGATCTGAACAACAAAGTACTTAAGAGGACATCCGTGCACAAATTTTTATGGCAAGGGTCAAAAATTCAAATTGTCTCAAGTTTTGCACACAAGTAGAACCTAATAAAACAAGAAAGACAAGAAAGAACAGAAGGCTGTGTATTTTGTTCCTCAAATATGTTTTTATTTTCGAGAAAAACGAACTTTTC